GATTGTTGTGCCTGGCTTGGCCTAAAGACGAGTAGAGTAAAGTAGGGCACCCAGTGTAACAAATAATGCCGCCGATTGAGTTGAACCATGGCCTGAGCGAGTCCGCATGAATGTTCCAGTCCCCAGCCAAAGCCACGGTTCATCCCGAAGCGTACTGAGTTATCTCGTGCAGGATCTCAATATTCGCTTCAGAGAGGCCCTGGCCGTCGAGAAGGTACACCGTCAGCATAGTGATGCGGTGTTTGCGCCCCCAAGTGACGTGTGCTGCTAGTACCCTACCAAGCACCAGCTCAGGTGTAGATCGGCCAGGGGCGAGGGTGACTCTGACTCTGGCTGGCACCAGAATAGCCATGACTCCGTTGGTGCCCCCTTTGCTGGACTCTGGGGCTGGGGCCCAGAGTCCTGAAAAGCCTGCTCGAACCGCTTGATGCTGAACCTCAGGTAACTTGGCGGCCTCTGCGTGGTGCTCGTGGATGCACAAGACGCATGATATTGTCCATGGCAACTTGAGCATGTCAATGAGTGGACCGTAAAAGGAACAATTGGCGGTGATAACCGAAAACTGTCCCAGAGACTGCTGCGGATATTCCTTCGTCACCATATGTTGTGCCCCGACTGGCCATGTGGTTGGCTTCCATGGTAACTGGACCCGTCGTCGTCACCGAGCTTGCCACATCAATCTGAGTCATAATCAGAGAGGAGGGAAGAGGGGTGAGGAGGGGAGGGGGAGAAGGGAGAAATGGGGAGGGAGGAGGGAGGAGGAAGGAGAACGACGAGGAGGACATGATGCTATGTTTGTTCGCCGCCTCCCTGGCCCTCGTCATCGTCGTCGTCGTTCTCGTTGTCGTCGTTGTCTTCGTCTTCGTCTTCGTCGTGGAATATCGTTTTTTTAGCACCCGCTGCATTGCCACGTGACGCGTTGCATTGCATTGCATTGCGCTGCGCTGCATTGCAGCCTGTTGCGTGGCATTGCACTGCGCACTGCGCTGCGCTTGCGCAGCAGTCGCATTGCAGCTGCAGCACGCTGCATTGCAGTGAATGACGGGCGCGGGATGATTCGGGATGCCCCTCGATTAGACAAGCGCGTTCCACTACTCGAGTAACTACTACTCGCAAATGGTTCGGATCCGCCGAGGAGGATTTGCGATACATCACGTCGAGGCAGGCGTTTGTTGCAGAACATTTTGCGAGTAGGCGCTTTGCGAGTAGTGGAACGCGCTCGGTGATCGATGGTCCCCGCCGAGAAAAAATGGCACACGCCCGAGCGATGCCAGGCTGCCCCCCCTCGGCGCGCGCTTGGCTCGGGCCGGGCGACAGGGGGGGATAGCAAAAGGGGGGCTCGAGGATCAGCTCACGCAGTTGAGTCTCCCGGCGCCTCCCGGCGCCGGAGGCGGCCGTGTGTCGAGGAATGGACCCCTCGGTGGGGCCGACACCAGCTGCACGCAGCAGATGTCGTAACCCCCCCTTTCCCTTTCCCCCTCTTTCGTTCGGCCCGATAAGGGCCCCCCCCGGACTACAAGGCCTGCCCCCGGACTGCAGGGACACCCCCCGGGACTTTACGGGAACCCTCCCTGGTCTACAGCCCCCCCCCGACTGTTGGTCATCCCCAAGCTATTGAGGTACTCGAGTCGATCTCTAAGATCCAACGGCTCTGGAGGCTGTATCGGGCGCCACGGCATTTTCAGAGCATATGGAACGCTCCTGGGAGTAAAAAGTACCGATGCCGCTGCCCCTGTTGTTCGGCCCGGGCCGGGCGAAAGGGGGGATAGCAAAGGGGCCGCTTGAGAATCAGCTCACGTATAGCCGATTTGACCCGGCGCCTCCCGGCGCCGGAGGCGGCTATATATATATATATATAATATATATATATATATATATATATATATATAGCGCCTCGGGGGGGGGCGCCGACACCAGCTGCATGCAGCAAACTTCGTGCCCCCCCCGTTTCCCAAGCCCACCCACTTTTGTTCGGCCCGCGTGGCACGGAAGGGCCAGCCAGGCCGGGCGGGCCTGCCCCCCCCTCCTGCGCGGGCCGGAGGCCCCCCCCCCCTGCCCGCGGTTGGGGCAGGACGCGCCGCGCCCGCGCGGGCTTCGGTCGGGCACGTCCCCCTACAGGCGGACTGTGTACGAAACTGCTGGCGCAAACAAACCAACGAGCACAGAGTCAAAACTAGCCCCAAAATAGTAGAAACATCGTCCCCAGACCATTTGGTTGTCTATGCCTGAACATTCCTCCTGCCGAGGGACGTGCCCGAGACTCACACGCAGGCCAGCTTCCTCTCTCACTCTCTCTCTCTCTCTCTCTCTCGCTTCCCCCTTCTTCCTGCTCCGCCGGCTGCCCCCGCGCCCCCTTCGCTCGCCTCCTCTCCCCCCTTCCTGTCCGCTGCCAGCCCTCCCTTTTAGGAAACCACCCTTTTCAGTGAGAAAACGGGCCCAGGAGCGAACGACCGACGGGCCTGGGCCCGCGAGAAGGACGGCCGCGACGCCCTCTCGCGAACCCATCGTGAAAACGCCCTGGGACCGAAGCCGACGGACCTGGGCCCGCAAGAGACGACGGCCGCGAGGCCCTCTCGCAAACCGAAAACGGCCAAGGCGCTAATCGACGTGTCAGGGTAGGAGGTCTATCCTAGGGCTCCCACCTTCGCTTCGCGCTGCGCGAAGTGCGAATAACGCCGCCTCCCAGGGGAGAAGGGGAGGGCGAGGAGGAATCGGAGCCGAGCCGCGAAGCGCGAATAACTTCGCGTCCTCGAGGGCGCCCTTGCAGATATAAGAAATCCGCGCGGACCGTCGAAAGTTTGCACCCGCCGCGCTAGCATAAGGAACGCCGAAGAAGGATCGGCGGGGCTCTCCCAGCCACGGCAGAGCTCGGCCCTGAAGACGTTCCCCGACGTAGTAGGGAGCCCACAAATGAAGGGGCCCTGGGACACACAAATAACTAGACACAAACTAACAGTGTTCCAAGCCGAGAACAGGACAGCGATGGGCCTGTTTTCCACCACCACCACCATCACCATGAGTCGGAGGGGGAGGGGGTCCTCACCCTCCTCCTCCTCCTCCTCGTCCTCCTCCTCTTCTTCCTCCTCCTCCTCCTCCTCCTTCTCTTCCTCCTCCTCCTCCTCCTCCTCCTCCTCCTCCTCCCTCCCCCCTCCAACGTATGGTGGTGATGGTGGAAAGCAGACCCCCACCAGCCAGGGCAGGGAGGCGGGCGGGAGGCAGCGGAAAAACAGAGGGGAGCGGAGGCGAGCGAAGGGGGCGCGGGGGCGGCAGGCAGACCTGGGCGCGCAGAAGCCGCCGCTGCCACTCCGCCGATTCGCCCACCCGGGGACCCAGCCTAATGCTGCTACTATGTTTGAATACAGTCAACCAGCATAGCAAGGATGCTCGATAAGGATGCAAGGGCCTTGGACGCCCACGTCGAAGCTTTTCGAGCGGGGCGCGGCCAACGAAAGTGGCCAAGGATGGGCTGAGGAGGCAAGGATGCGACGGTACTCTCGGGAAGGTTGCCCATCCTTACCGTGCGGGTTGACTGTGTTCCTCCTGTAGAGGGACAGGTCGGAAGAGAGGGGGGAACGGAGGCGAGCGAGGGGGCGCGGAAGAAGGCGGAAGAAAGGGGGGAACGGAGGCGAGCGAAGGGCAGCGGGCTCCTTAAAGGCAGCGGAAGAAAGGGGGGGGGAGCGGAAGACTTAAAGTTAAGTCGGGCGTGTCTCCCTTCAGGGGGATTTTCGACGAAAAATGAAACATACTCCAAACATGATTGAAAAATAGTCCAAAAATAGTTGGGGACTATTTTTTTGGATGTTTTGTGCTCCTTTTTGGGGTATGTTCTATTTTTCGTCGAAGATCCCCCTGTAGGGTGACACGCCCGACATAAACTTGAAGGCCCGACTCAAAAGGCAGCGGGAGAACGGGGGGAGCGGAGGCGAGCGAAAAGGGGGCGCGCGGGCGGCAGGCACAGACCCCGGGGCGCGCGGGAGCCGCCGCCGCCGCCCCGCAGAGACGCGGCCGCCCGGGGGGCCCGGCCGCGCCCGCACACCGCGGGCCCCGCCAGCGAGGGGGGGCCACTCTGCAGAGGTCCAGCAGTCCACTCGCCATCGCTCGGGCGTCCATTCCCTGTGTTTTTGTTTCGGTTTCGCGCGTGGCTTTTTCGCCAAATGATCCAGGATGCTCCTCGATGGTCCTCACCGAAGGGAAAATGCACTCTTCAGAGGTCAAACAGTCCACGGGGGGAGCCCACGAGGCGCCCACGACCAGGCACAGGCGCCAGCGTGACGGAAACTTGGGGAGCCCATCCGATGGCTTGGACAAAAAGCATGTCCACCAGCGCGGCCCCCAAGCAGTTCGTTTCTGCGTGGAGCAGTCTAGGTGGTGCAGTCTACAGTCGGACTCGATCGGACAGGACACGCGAGAGGACTCAGGACCCTTCCGGGGGCCACGTCGCCACAGGAATGCAAGAGGCACGGGTCGCGAGACACAGGACACGAGGGTACCCTTGATTTGGCAGGGTCGACCTACTAATCCGGGCCGACTGTAACCACCCCGACACGCGAAGTCGTCTAGTGTGAGCGCGCCCAAAGAAAGGATCGAACAGGGCAGGGCTGTCTAGTAAACGCCCAGGGCCGTGAAGGAAACGCCAATTGTCCGGTCCGGGTGGTCTTTTCCCCCTGACGCTTGCGTCTAGCCGACCAAGGGGGGAAATGCAGAAGGATTTGGACGCCCGAAATGGGTACGGAAAGAAAGGGTACAATGCCCAACAAAAAATGTTGTCCCAAACCAACACCGGCCGCTGGTAGGCAGGCGGCCTTCTGTCTCGAATGGACACAGGCCGCGGCGGCGTGGACAGCGAGTCCTGTTCAGAATGAGCAGGAACTGCTGTTGAGCATTGCACCCATTCTTTCCGTGCCCATCCCATTCGTGCAGAGAGGGAGGAGGGCGCAGCGGGGAGGGGGCAGGAGGAGCAGCCAGAGACGACGGCGGCGAGGGGCTCAAGGGGCGCTGGCCTGCGCAGACGTAGAGGGCGCCCAGCAGCAGCAACCCCGCCAGGGCATACTTCGCGCTCCAGAGGTGCACGGCGCCGCCCGGGCACGGCACGTCCACCTGGGGCAGGAGAGCCCTCCTCCTCCTCCTCCTCCTCCTCCTCCTCCTCCTCCTCCTCCTCCTCCTCCTCCTCCTCCTCCTCCCCCTCCTCCTCCTCCTCCTCCCTCCTCCTCCTCCTCCCCCTCCCCCGCCCAGAACCGCATCGACAAGTCGGATCGGCAGTCGAACGAAGTCGGCTCGGGGGAGATCGGCAGCCGAGGCGGGAAGAGCCGCCTCGGCCGAGATCGGCAGGCCGATGGGCCTCCACTGAGATATCGGAGCCCGAATCGGAATCCGAAGTCGGATCGAATCGGAAGCGGAAGCCATCGAAATCGAATCGAAGCCGAATCGAAATCGAAGTCGAAGTCGGAGTCGAATCGGAATCGAATCGGAGGAATCGAACTCACGACCTTAGGATTATGAAATCTACGCGCTGCCAGCTGTGCAATCGCCACCTCGGCAGCTCGCCCGGCCCCGCGGGAGCCTGGCCCAGCGAATGCAGCACGACTACGCTGCAGTTTGCTTTGGGGGGCCCGGCGAAGATGAAGACCACCTCCCCACGAGCAGTGCCCAGACCCGGCTCAACCAGAGCCTGGCTTCGCAGGATCCAGCACGATCTGGCGCTCTGGCTTAGCCCCGTTTGCGCTGAATCCCGCTACCCGACGGCTAATAGCGGTCGCCGTCGCCGACGCTGGCGGCATCGCCGCCGCCGCCGTCGCGGCCGCCGCCATGCTTCGACGATAAGCAATGCAAATATCCCTAACCCGTTGGGAGGGGTCCTGAGTATGGAGGGCCAAAAACATTGGGGATATGTGGTCTCTTTGCAAAAGTAACAGACGAAACCATCCACTGTTCCGGGATTCCCACAGACAACAAGGACCTGAGTTCGGCTATCATGCTCCATGATTCGAGGCTCGAGGATGGAGGATCGAAGTCATCACGGGGGCGCGCAAGCATGGATTAGCGATCCATAGATTTGGCGCGCGGTCGCCAAATCAATGGATCGGGGGATGTGCCCTCCCCACAATGCGGCCGGTGCCGCCTCGTTCGGCGGCGGAAATCAGCAATTCCCCATGGAAGCGGGACCCGACGCTAATCCACGCCCCCTTGATCCATGTTTGCAATCGCCTGATCATCAAGGACTGGAGCTGTCGAGGACCGCTGCCTCTGTGCGTTTCAGCGTTCTCCCCGCCCAATGCACCCAAGAGACCAGCGGGGGGAAACTCTGCCGATGGTCGTCGTCTTCGGGAGGGGGGGGGGCCATGGATGGCCCAGGGACAGCGGCTGACATCCCCTACCTCAAATTCAAGAGGCACCGAAATCATATTCAAGACGGTCACCAAAAAAACGACGTACTGCGGGTTCTTACACTACCCCCAGACGGGGGTCAACCTCGCCTCGGCGTCGCGCTGCGGCGGGGGTCGGAGCGCCTTCGGCGCGCGGCGGCAGCCCGCGACGGGCGTCGATGTGGGGCTGTCGGCGGGGGCGATGCCCCGCCGACGCTTGTTAAGAAACTCGGAGTAAGCGTGACCACTGCGTTTACCCCCTCACTCTTCGCCGGTGAGGCTGCCCAGCTGTAGTCCAGGATACAGGCCGGATTGCGCCGGCGCCGTCTGGCCGCGCCAGCCAGGGTAGCTTTGAACGTGCCTGACTCGCGAAGGGAGGGGGGAAGGGAAAGGAAGGCGAGGTGAGGGCAAGAGAAAGGGGCAGACGAGGGAGGAAACCGCAGAACCAGGGCACGCACTGCGAATACAAGGAGACGGCCGAGGGGCCGTTCCTGCATAGGGTCCGTTGGTCGAGGCTTCTTTGCCTAGGCATTGCGCGGCGAGCAATGCTCCAAGGTTAGCTTGCCAATGGCTGAGCCAATACGGTTGCGGTAAGGATGCATTAGGGAAGTGAGCGGACTTCGCGCGCACCCCCCGCCCCGAAGCCTGCTAACTCCCGATGGCCTCGGGCCCGCGGGAGACAACGGCAGGGATCGGGAACAGGGTTCGATAGCCACTCGCAATCCCTTCACATTTACCGCCCATCCAAACGAGGGCGCGCTGAGTAGGATGGGGGGGGGGAGAACCAACCCCGCCACACGGGGTACTTAAGAACATCCACCCGGCTTCTCGGGCCTTGGGTGCGCCCCCAAAAAAGAGTTCGGCACTCCAGGACGATGCTCCGTCACCGCAAGTGGCAGGGCTGGCAGAGCAAGGGGAAGAGAGAAGATAGAGGTGGCACCAGCATCCCTCAATGCAGGCGTGGCCACCGACGCGGCACACGCGTAAAGTAAGACAGATCGGGGATGTGACGACAACTGGATCGAAGCAACAGATCTCTCATTCACGGGGCTCTCCCGGCCTAAAAGGTTGGCGGGGCACTCCAGGCCCATGTTAGACAATATGTACAGATAGCTGTGATGACAACTGGTTTTTGAGATTCCGTCATGCATGATGTGAGGCACTCCAGGCCCCAAAAGTATGTTGAAAAATACACGAATACGATCATGAAGAATGCGATGCGTTGGTCATGATCTGACGCCGTTTCATGATACAAATATAATCATTTGTTGAACATGTCATGTTACTCGTGGGCGACCTGTCTGGGTGAATGTATGTCAAATTTACAGATCATATCATGTAAGTCGAAATCGATTCGACTACACCGTGTGAAACCGAATGTATATGATCACAAGAGACGGGTGTCGAGATATCTCAAGATACTCATACATAAGATACGTAATGACATCATATCCTTGACAAATATCGATCCCAACTTATCTACACAATATACGCAATAAAGTATGTAATTCAATAACCACGACCAATGTTCATAGTAACGCTCATCACAAACACGATTCCCGTAGCCATTGAACCAGCTGATGGTGATAGTCTGGTAGTTGTCCCATGACCATATATATTCGCTGTCGTTGCTGTCGAAATAGATCCATTTGGACTTGTGGTGCGACCAGTAACGGTATGTGTCGCGCTGGTAGTGCTGGAGTCCGCGACGCCACCAGGTGTGGACGTTGCAATGCTCGCGCGCGGCGCTCCGGCTACGGCCACGGTCGCCACCGCGGTCGCGGTCTCGGCGGTGTCGCGGGACGGCGCGATGTCGAGGAATGAGCGGCCCCCCCGGTCCAGACCGCGGCGGGGCCCCAGCCAGCGCCACCAGGGGCAAACGCAGGCGCGGGGCCATCGCGGCGCGGGGGCGGGGGAGCAGGGGCGAGGCGGATCGGTTCCTCGGGAGCGGCAGCAGAGTCGCCATTCTTACTCTTGCCAGCGCCTTTGGGCGCCTGCGCCCGAGAGTCTTTCAACGTCGCGCGATTCATCTGAGCCCCCCCCTTCCCAGAAGGGGAAGGAACAAGTCAAATGTCCGCGGCCAAGCCGCTCGCCGCGAGGCATCGCTCCGGGGGCCAGCGCCCCCCGGCCGGTGTATCCGAGCCTCTGGCTCTCGCTCTGCAAGCGCATCGCCTCCTCGTGTCCTCGATCGTGAATGGGCGCAGGCGCGCCTGCGCCCTGTCTGTCGCCATCTGACGGTGGAAGTCGCCATCATCGAGGAATCGACAAGCAAGGTCGGGGCACGGATGATAGAGAACCGTTCCCTCCCTGTCGGCGCCCTCCTGTCCACCGACACGGCATTGGCCAGGGCTGGGACTGCCGGCCTCTAACCATCTGGCGTGTCGGACCTCCGGCGCCGCAGCGTCCACTTCTGAAGAGGACGTCGGAACCGGTGGCGGAGTAGGCATGTTTGCCGATGCCGCGGGCGCTGCTGTCGAAGGTGGCAATGGTACCTCCCATGCTGGTACGGGGGGCGGCCGCCTGGGAGTCGCACCGACCATATCGCCACCCTCTGGTGGCGGATGATGCGTCGGAGGAGCTGGCGGCGCAGGCGCGCGAGTGGTCCCGGGCACAACGGATGGAGAATCAAGGGCTATCTCCGTCTGTGACTCGGCCTGAGTCTGAAACCACTTGGTAAACTCGAAGATGTAGTCCGTGTTGACATCGCGCTCTTGTTCGAAAAAGCCTGTCTCCTCGCTGGCAGGATTCGGGGCAACATCCACAAGATTGCTGACACTTTGCTTCAATACCAACCCGGTAACAGCATGACGCATCATGCAGGTCCCGCTGTGCACTTCCTTGAGGAAGATGCGCTCAGGGGAAGAGTACGATGCCCATGTCTCGGGGAATGTCTTGAGCATTCCGTTGAGGCGACAAAATTTAATATCTCAAGATTTGTGATATTTCTCCTTCGTAGGAGTATGTAGCGCCATTCCATCCCAATCCGTGCCGCATGCAGCATGAACGGCCTGAGCACACGCAGGTGGGGGATCTTCATGTGGCGTCGCCTCCGCTGGGGTGAAAGCAGGGATCGAATCCTGGTTCCGATGTTGCGGGGCGGCCGAAGATGATCCAACTGCGGGAATTGCCTCCGGCGGAAAGACCGGGGGAGGGTCAAGCGAAGAATGGAATGCCTGAAATGTCGCTGTCACCCACGCAGCCAAGTCGTGCTCTCCCAGGGATTGCACGCGAAGGCCTGAAGTTTCTTCGAGCGTTGGAATTGCGTGGATTGCTCCAGGCGGGTGCGGAGAGCTTCGCGCACCTCCCGCGCCTGGGCACGGCCCTTGTATTCGTTGACGGGCTGGATCGACGGGTGGCGGAACGGGAATGGCTGCGTCGGCAGCGATAGCGGAGACGCGCTCAGGTCCCTGAGGGTAGCGGCATGCATGAACTGCTGCGTCAACTGCACCAGGTTATGTTCCGTCTTCTGTGGATGCCAGGAATTAGTATGAGGGCGATCCTGCTGTTTGATCCATTGATCAGCAAGGAACACAACAAAACCACGGCCAATTAAAACCTTGATCATCTCGGTCATGTGCTCGTCGAACGTGTCTTGTAATCCCCATCGGTGGGCCTTGCCAGGGCCCGTAACTGCAGGGGAACGGGGACAGTTCATAACGTCGATGCAACGAGATATGTCCACTCTGACAACCTCATGAAGATTCAGAACAACGTGGCCTGGTGAAGAAACCCAGCGTTTCTCGTAATCTGCTGGTAGCGGCGCACGAGCACGATGTTGGTCACATGTCATCCATTTCCTGTCCGTGGTAACGTCGTTTTCAGACCACCAGAGAAGAACACTTAGTCCGCGCTGATAATTGCGCTGTTTTACGTTGGCCGGGAAACGTTCCGCCCAAAAGGCCCAGATCACTTCTGCGAGCTCGCGGTACTCGTCGTTCTTGCCAGTCGTGTATGCTGCGCGGGCGCGGCGGACGCGAACGATGATCTGCTTCTGGCCCGCATTGGCCGGGTCGTTGGAGGCCATGATGTCGTCGAAGCGACGACGCGGAGTAGCGCGGCAAGCCTCGCGTGCGGCAGCTGGCACCTGAGCGCGGGCGTTGCCGCTGGCCTCCGGCAGCAGCGGTAAGTCGCACCCAAGCGGCGCGTCGTACTCCTACCAATAGCGCGTGTAGTTATTGCGTGAAAGAGCCCAGAAGAGTATGTCATCTCTCATCCACGTGGCAACCCTCCAACGTGACACCCGCCAGGTATTGGAAGTCATGCGTCCATGGACATGGTACCAGTGCTGGATTGGAGGCGCCAGCGATCCGATGACGTGCCTCTATGGAATTCAACTCGTCAATGCCAGCACATGGCGTCGTTGATCTTCTTGCCACCCGCGGACTTCCACGCCGTGAGACAACTGGAGTCACTGTGGAGATTGACCCACTTGAAGGCGCGGCCGTCGGGGCCGAAGGCATGGATAACGGCGGGGCCGGAGTCTTCGTCCAGCAATGGGGCCCATCCGTGGTCACTCATCATGCACGGGTAGTGTCTGCCATCTGCAAGTGCTGACCAGCGTGGCGCCGCGGCAAAGGGTGCCTGACCAGTTACTGTAGCAAAAGGGTCCTCGTTGAAGCATCCTGCCGGCAGGACTACAGACGTTCGTGTTCCGAGGCTCCCGCGCTGGGTCCACATTGGACAGGCTCGTCGCAGTGGCGTAATCCGCTGCAAGCGTTGCCACCGGCATGGGGCCACAACTCTCGCCGCCGAATTCTCCGGGGGCCGCGGCCCAAGGGGGCGCTTTAATCTTGCGCTCGTTGCGCGCGGTCAGCATGTGGAAGACGCGACATCACGCGCGCTGAAGCGCCTCGGCGAATTTGCCGATATGCATGTCAGATGCGCGAGGTGCGGCAGGCGGATCCGTGGGCATTTTATGTCCGACTGCGTGGAGAAAATGTACGCCGTGAGCCCATGTTCACGGGCAAACAGCGGGCGCGGGCCGCTGGGGCGGCGCAGCAGATTCATGGTCTCGTCGAGGCTCGCAGCAGACGGGCCACTCAGGTAGGTCGAACCCACGGAGTCCTACGGCATGCGCAACACTTTTCACATTCCGCTTGCCACTCGAGTACATATCTCTTTCGGTGGACACTTGGGCGTCTCTGAGTTGATACCAATCCCTGGGGGATGTCAAAAAAGTCAGGGCACTGGCGCACTGCATGCGCAATCCAAGGGCCCTTCAGGTAAAGGCCCGTGACAGTCACCCAGACGAAGAGGAATGCCATCCATGGAACGGCCGTGGCAGGGGTCGGGCTCGGCTCCGCGTCTCCGACGAGCACGCCGCCAGCCTGGGCGTCGCCTGGGATGCCGAAGCGAGGGGCCCCTGCTTGCTCGAGCGCAGCCAGCAGGTTCCGCTCCCGTCAGGACGATTCTCGGCCACGCGCATGTGGCTCAGTCCGCTGCTGAGCGGGCGGTTGCGGGCAGTTTGTGGCTCGAAAGCTGGTCCGTTGCGGATGTCGCCGTCGGCGGCCGCCGGGGCGCCGGCTCCAACCTGCGCCCCGCGCAGCTTGATCGGAGGTGCCTTTGGCGCCGTCGCGGGCCGATTGGCGCGGGCGTGGCCCTCCGCGCGGGCGGGGGGGGGGGGGTCGAGCGCGGGCGCGTTGAAAGCGGTAAATTGCAGCGGAACAAACATGAATCACGCATGCAACGGCAAAGAAACGCACGCGCGCGGATGACAGCAGGGAAGATGCCATTGGCCAGGGAACCCTTCACGGTAGAGTCGGCCTCGGCGATCTCCGTCTTTTCAGCGGTCTTCCCGGCGGCAGGAAAAATAAGAGACAAACCGGGAAGGCCCTGCCCCATATGAGCCTTTTTAGGCTACAAGTGTTTTGTCAGCATATCTGCAACCTGTTCTGTTGTGCCTACATATTTTAGTTAGAAAGGTTCCTGTTGGCATGTCTGCGTAATCCAATCCGACTTGATACGATGTGCACGATGAAGATGACGAGGGGCTGGCGCACGTCCCTTGTGTACTATCGTGATTACTGCCTCGCCGCCCCCGGCCGCGGCGAGGTTGACGACGGCTGGTGGAGCAGAGCGGGCAGGATGATCAGGGGCATGAAATGCCATATCGTCGTGCACAACGTCATTGGGAGTGGATGGCGACGATGTCGATGACGTTTGCATTGAGGACCACGCGCGGGGAGAAGAAGCACGCGCGGGCGAAGCCCGTCGTTTTGGTGGCTTGTAACGCTTCTTCTTGGCTGCCAGTGCAGCGTCGCCGCGCGCGGTGCGCACCGCTGCTTCCCAGAAGGATAACAGAGGTAGGCCCTCCGTTCGTAGCGCAGCATCCAGCGCCGCGATCTCCGACTCGGTAGAAGAGTGGGAGACCACGGTCTGCTTCTTGCGCGCGGAGTTCAAGGGGGAGAACGCGCAGGGGCCCGCGAGAGCGACGAAAACGCCAGTGGTAGATTTTGACGTGTTAACGCAGTCTGCAAACGAGGCATCCGCGAACAGCACGATCGAACTTTTGCCAGACTTATCACCAATCCATCCGCGTAGGCAAGGACGCCGCGTGGATTTGAGATACCAAACCAGTCGATGCAGCTGTTTGTCACATGCACAGCTCCACCTTGCAATTTTCCTGGCAAGCATGCGCGCCGGATGCATGAGATCGAATCTGCTGCAGCGGGCCAGATACAATATCTTCATGAGTGCACTCGCGGCGTCTGGCCCCAGTACGCCAGCATCATCATAATCTCGATCAGTGAACGATGTGTCCTCTATGCCAGGGGCGTCTGCATGTGGGGGTGCGTCCTAGGTGAAGCCTGCGTCGTCGGGTGCGGGGTCTGGGTTTTGCAACCGACGCGGGCGGTCGGGTTGCAGGTTTGTCAACCGGCGCCCTTGTCTGAAACTTGGTTGTTCTCGGCTTTGGCGATGATGGTCGCTTCCGGCGGGATCCAGGCATGCCCGGTAGCTTGGATACGCATTCTAGATATCGCTGGACGCATTGATCAGTGAAGCCAAGCATGTCATGCCGAATCCCACGCGCGTTGATAGCTGACGTGTGCTGGTTCTTGTCGTGATCAGGAAGCACTGGTCGCATCGTACTCATACGCTCGTTGAACACGTCCTGGGGTGCTTGCCAAAAATCTTGACCACATCCCAAGTAGTGGTCGTACCTTGTAGGAGGATCCAGTTCCATTCCACTGTGCCGTATCTGATCGCATCCCTTGTTGAGGTTGTCAGTGGGCCCTGTGATTTTGAAGTCGTCGACGTAAACAGACAAGGTGAGGTCGAGCTCATCGCGCTTCCACGCGCATTCCCATCCGGGAATGGGAGTGAAGCCCACTGATTCGAGACTGGCACGGAAGCGACGCTCCCAGAAGACACCTGCCGGTGGATGGCCATACACGGCAAGCCGGAGACGACGTACTGGATTCTTGTACTTTGCCCAAGATGAAGGTTGACTCCATTTGGGTAGGGTAATCCACGCATCCACTGGGTCGTCGCGGTCGTCACCGCGCAGCAGCGACTGTGCGCGCGCAGCCAGAGCGCCACTCTGTTGACCTCCGTTGCCAGGCAAGAGCGCTGTGGGATCACATAGCTTGGAAGCCATCCGACATAAGAGGCGCTCGGGGCAGCGTCGGCGAAGACAGCTGCAAGGCCACTCTCGTCCTTCACGTTGTCGCCCCGGACCGCAACGCGCCCCCTGTACTCCTGGAGTTCAGGAGGTAGCTCCGCGTGTTTGACAGAAGAAAAATCCATAATGTTCGCGAAGTGGACCTCTTTGTTGTGCCTGGGGGCGTTACGTACAACATCTTCTCGTTCCATCACCGCGTCGAGCAACCGCGCCTGTTTCTTCTCCAGACGTTGGTATCCTTTCCGAAGTGCATCCCGTGCTCGAGGTTCCGCCGCAACCTCCTCCTTGGCGGGGTTGCGGGTGGCGACGTTGCGCGTGGCGGTGCAAGGCCGTATCCAGTGAGTAGAGTCAAGTTTGCTCCTGCGGCTTTGTTCGTGATCCTGAAGACAAGGCATCATCGGCACCAGGTGGGAATTGACGGCGTTGTGCGATCGCACAACGCCTGCAATATTGGCATCGGGCGCTGGGCGGTTGCACCGTGCAAAGAAGATGTCGCGTGGTCCGTCTGGCAGCAATGCATTGGCAATGCGCCTGTCCGTGATGCCCGCCACCGGTTCGTCCCTGATCACGGCGTGGTTGTGGAGGTCGCGCGTAATGCTTCGTTCCGCGCTGGACCAGGGTGGCCCGTCACCGTCGGTTGTCGGAAATCGACGAGTGTTCATGCTGGTGCGAGTCCAGCTACGAAGAGCAGAGTCGTGGCGGACTACGCGTGCTCGGATGACGCCCTGCGCGAACTCTCGTTCTGCCGCTCGTGTTTCTTGGACATCGTATTCCAGAATGCTGGTAACGCAAAGTCGGGTCGAGCAGTCGCCTGCGCGCGAGTATCCCGACGGAGGATGTTGATCTCGCCGTCGGTGAGTATCTCGGGGCGCTTGTAGGAGCGAACGACACCCGTCCAGGGCTCGCTAAGATGGCGATGGTCGCTGGCAGAATCGCCCCACGCATCGCAGAAGTACGTCTCCCCTTCGAAGCTCGACGTAGTCTCGAAGCTA